GCCGGCCCTTCAGTACCATTTTTAATGTTTCCTGAGTGGTTTGTCAAATGGGGTTTCTTTTTACCTGTTGTTTTTTGGATGTTGTATCTTCAATTAAGTAAACATATGATAATAATTTAAATTACTCAAAACGTAAAGTGAAGCATTATTTGAAGTTAACTCTTATGAGATGATTATCTTGATAGATTTCCAAATTCAATTTTTTTCTTGCCCATAATGCACTGGATTAAATGGAAAGAACTAATAGGATAGGTAGAAGTCAGAATATTTAATTTGAATAAACAGTAACTGACCTAGTGATAAGAGAGTAGTGTGGTTCAGTGGTCTGATGGAGGAGAAAATTTTTGGTGGATTATGGAAGAGATGATGGCTCTAATTAGGGAGGTGTCATGTAGGGTAGAAAGAGTCCCAGATCAGAAAAACCGGGGTTTAGTCTTGATTCTGCCATTTCTTAATAATTTGAGCTTGACCAGGTAAACACTCTAAGACTCATTTTCCTCATCTGTAAAATAGGGCTCATAATGATCTTGCATTTCTTTAGATCACTTTTACACATAATAAAGGTAAGTATAAATGTAAAGTGGTGTTTTTAATATTCAAGCTAGCCCATTTAGGAGGCTTTATAAGGTGGTTTGATTAGGTAATGAGGACCATGCTTCCAAATATTTTCAGAGGCTTTACAATGAAATTATTATTATTTGGAAAAAGAAGCGTGTGTGCGTGCAAATCTTGAGCAAATCTTCAGATCTAATGAATACATTTTAGAGTTGACATGTAGAATTTTAGCTATGTAACACAGTACAGTTACTGTTGAAACTGGAAGTGTTATATATGAGATAAGACACAGTAGGGGAGGAACCTGAGCTTTGCAGTCAGATAGACTTGGGTTTGAACTCGGGCTCTACCACTTACAACTGAGTGATCTTGGTAAACTTTTAATTCCTTTTTTGTAAAAAGGGGCAACACCACTTGCTGTGTGAGGTATTAATAAATGTTGAGGTTGTGAAGATTCATTGTGAAACACTTAGCACAGCGGTGGAAACATCATTGAAGTTTTCATAAATTATTAGTCTAATATTGGTAAATGTTTTCCTGCTTTTTTTCCGCTCTAGCAGATTCAAATAAGACAACTAACAGTTACATTAACAAGTGACTTACTATTTTCAGTTTTAAAAGCTAACTGCTTTTATTAAAAAAGAAAGATTAATTACATTTTTATAATATATTGCCATAGAGAGCAGCTTGTTTATTAGCTGACTAGTAACCATTCTAAAATGGTCTAATACCGAAATCTGCGTCTATCAAGTGGCTCCAAATCATAAAACGGAGATGAGCAGCTCTCCTGTTGTTTTTCTGATTTGTAACAGTAGAAGCTAGCTCACCTGCTGTGAGTATTTGATTTGTGCTTCTGCACATATTTAAATCTTCTGTGAAGGCATTTTTCACTGTAATATTCCCAACTTTTAGATGCTCATGAAGAGTCTTGATTTAATATTGGAATTTGTTTACTATTGTTTAAGATGATTTAGTCATTTTACATTGTAATGTATAAATTTCTTTCCAACATAGAAATAAAATTTAAAGATTTACTCAGTCTTTATGGCTCTCAAATCTTCCATCGTATGCTTTCACTCATGTTAGACCTTAAGCCTACTAATATTGCTCTGGCTTGGCCATCTGTAATATTTAGAGGGTGAACTCAAGTTCAGGCCCAAATGCTGTTTGACAGAGGCCAAATGCAAACTCAAAGAAAAATTATTTTAGGAGGAAAAATCTAAGCCTGTTTATAAGTTAAAGGGAAGGAATTAGCAGAGAAGAAGTTGAAGATGTAAGAGAAAGAGGAGGTAGAAGCAATTAACTTTTAAAACAAATTTCAAACGAGTATGTAGTAGGCTTATATAATTTGTTTCCCTTCTTTATTGTATATTATATTAAACCCTTGTAAATGTTAAGGCACTTTTTTTGGTTATTCTTATAACCATATTTGTACTTTAGAGAGATAATTGGAGGATTCATCATGGAGAGAAGAAATCAGAGTCAAGGAGACCAGTTAAGAAACTTTATATAAGGGGGTGACCCGTTAGCTCAGTTGGTTAGAGCGTGGTGCTGATAATACCAAGGTTGCTGGTTCGATCCCGCATGAGCCACTGTGAGCTGCGCCCTCCTTAAAAGAGTCAACTGTGCCATTATAGCATGAAAGCAATGTGTAACCAATGACCATGGCTGTTCCCCAATAAAATTTTTTTTTTAAAAGAAACTTTATATAAGAACCCCCTCCCCACAACAAATGATAATTGAATGTTATAGTGGTAATGAAGAGGAGAGGCCAAAAAATCATGAGTTATTTATTAGATAGAGTTCGTATGGCTTGGGAATGAAAACTGTGGTGTGAAGGAATGGGTGTGATGTAAAATAACTCTTAGCTTTCTGATTTGGTGCCTAAATAGATTGTAGAGTTTTTAAACCAGGAGGAAAAGGAAGCTTCGTGGAGAAAATGACAAGTTTTTGATACATTGATTTTATGTTATCTGAGAGATGTCAAACTGGAGATTGTTGGCAGCTAAATATTTTTAACTGTCAGTCAGACAAGAGATCCAGGCTTGGAGGGTAGTCAAATTTACTGATTAAATCACTCAGGGAGAATAGTTTTAATGAGAAGAGAATAGCACTAAGAATAGAATCTAGAGGAATGTAAACAGTGAAGGGGCAGGTGAAGAAAGAAGTCTTAAAGGAGGCCTAAACCAAATGATTAAAGAGGTGGGACAAAAAAAGTCGAATTATGGAAGCCAGAGGGAAGTAGGCACTTTAAGAAGGAAGTTGTTAATGTCAGATATCACAAAGAGACTAAGTACTGTATAAAACAGGTAAAATAATCAACAGCGGTAGTTTTACATGGGATTATAATATAATACTGAGAGCTTGTATTTTATGAGGTGGAGAAACGCTAATTCACAATTATTCTCTTTCATAATGAGCGTAGATATTTGGAAGCTAAAACATTCTGTTTCTAGTTTAAAGATATTGCCTTAGGACTGTCAAGTCAGGTGTTACTTTACTTGTATGTCACAAAAATACAAAGTTCACATTAGTATAACAATATGAAAGGTTTTATGTGGATGTATTTAGATATATTTATGCTTCTTTAAAATTAATTGTATTTTGTCTTTTTCTTTTTTAAGAGCTCTTGTCTCTTGGCAGTATCAATTGGCTGGGAAGGAGGTGTTTATGTACAAACCTGTGGCCACACATTACATATAGATTGTCATAAATCTTACATGGAATCATTACGGGTAAGTTAATTGGGTAATTTTTAAAGGTGTGTGTATCTTTCCCAGTATTAAATATTTTTTACAGTGTACACATCCCAATTTACCTTGGGTGATTCTGATCATTATTTGAACTATCCAGCCTCAAAGTTCCTTCACCTCTTCAACATTAGGGATTTCAGTTTTTTACTTTGCTTTAAGAAACTGACTTCTAGGCTGTAATTTTAGACTTTGCTACTCTAGCTCTGAAATACCATATCATTTTATTATATGATTATTTTTCAAATTCTTTTATTTTCATTTTTATTAGTGTATTTTATTTCTAGCATCATGATCTTTAGTCCTTTAACTCTTTTGCATTTTTCCTAATGCATTAGCCCTTACCTAGCCTCATTTTCTTGTCCTTTGCCCATTCTACTCTTAATACTAGTCATTTAATCTGCTTCCTTTGATCTTAGACACAGACAGCTAGCTCTGCTAGAAAAATCATAAAACTAAATAAAATGGCACCTCCACAAATTTGTGGTTTCCTATGATAGTGCATTAGACTAGGGTCATGGACTGTAGATATTACTTATTAATTCATTTACCTGTCTTTGATCAGTTTCCTCTCCTAGCGTCCTCAGCAGCTGTTCCAAACCTTTGCCTCTCCTACTCCACTCTTTGTCTAAATCCCAAGATCCCTTTCCTCTCATTAGATTCTGTCTTTTACTCTGTGATAAAAACAGTGGTTCTCTGTAACATACTACTTTAATTTCCTACTTTGCTTTTCTATTCCCCTATAAATGACTACCTCGTAACCAATCCTTTCTTTTCTACTCTTTGAGGTAGCATTTCTTCTTCTGTTCAGGAATACCTTTCTGTTTATGCTCTAGTATTTCTTTCTCTCCATCACCTCAGGGGCCTTGATCAATCAGTAAGTAACCTCTTTTTCTTCTGTATTTTCAGTTTTTCTGCCCGGTCTGTCCTGTCTTTTCAATTCATAAAGACACTAAAGTCTCTGGCATTTAAAATTCCTTCCCTTGACCTTGTATTCCCCTGTACCCACAGTCTTTTTCTTTCTCTCAGCTCAACTTCTTAAAAGTGTGGGAATCTATTCCTCAGATTCCTAATTCAGAAGTAGTGGATTTCTCTTTTTCCCTTCCTATTCCTTACCTCTCACATTCAGTCACTTGTCAAATTCTATTGATTCTGTCTCCTAAATCTTACTTGACTATATTCTGCATTTCTTAAGTCTCACTTCTACTTTTTCATGTATGCCTTCATCTCTTATCTTGACTACTCTTTCTTCCTCTTTCTATCAGAAACATCTGAAGGAAGGTGTTAATTCCGCTTCTACCACACTTACATTCTGAGCACTCTAACCAAATCTTCCCCATACATTAAACCTAAACAAACCTACTGCATAAAGTCCAATCAATTGTATTCAGCAGTTAGATACTTGACATAGCACATTATTTGGCTTAATTTACGTTCAAAAACTGTCTATCCTACATTGAAGAACATGGGCATTTGTAGAATCTTCCCAGTAGTCACTTATAGATTATGAAAATAGGAGCAAGGGGTAGAGGATGGTGACCCACTTTAATGTGGCTGGCTTTCTGAGTTATTCTTTATTTTAAATTCACACATCAGATTGATTGCATTGTTACTTGATTATTTCATACTGAGAGAAGAGTAGGATGCTTAAGCAGTTCATTGGTGATGGCAACTGTTGCATAATTGCCATGATGTAAGAAGTGATTTGATAAGCTTCAAAAGTTAAATGAGAGGTTTTGTTTGTTTTTATGACATATATTAGAGATATCTTTTTTTTTTGTATGGTTCATTTATTTCTTGAAAAATGTAGTGGTGTAACTTTTGTTTTTTGTAAAGGTGTGCACTATACATCTGTATGTTTATTTTATCTTTTAGAATGACCAGGTTCTTCAGGGATTCTCAGTGGACAAAGGAGAATTCACGTGTCCTCTCTGCAGGCAGTTTGCAAACAGTGTTCTTCCATGTTATCCTGGAAGCAATGTGGAAAATAATCTTTGGCAACGTCCTAGTAACAAAAGCGTACAAGATCTCGTGAAGGAAGTGGAGGAGCTGCAGGGACGGCCGGGAGCTTTCCCAGTAAGCATCAGTGTAAGGCAGAAATATCCTGGCTAATTAACTCAGCTCTACTTTTCAGCTTTCATTTTTGTTCTGTTTCTAAATTACTCTGGACCTTTATACATTTAGTAGAAATTGTCTTTAGAGTTTTTTCTCTTGTTTATGGTTATTAAAACAAAACATGAGCATAATAGGACAAATTATTACCAAAGGCTATACTTTTCCTTAGTCCAAATTGTTACAGTTTTAATATATTATCTTCCAGATCATGAAATTCTGTAAGCTTAGATATGATGAGACATTTTTTAAGATGTTGAAATATTAAAAACAAAGCCAACAAATAAATTATATACAGAGGTTGCCAAAAAAGGTTTTAAGAAAGGAAAAAGCTGTATTAAAATGGTAATACTCAATATATACTGATAACAAAAGATGAATACAAGTCACATTTGCTTCTGCAATTACAAGAGGTGTTCAGAGTGGTTAACATCAGTGTCCAGACACTTCTGATTTACGGTGAACTACTGCTTGAGCAACGTTGACCGAAGTGTCCACTTGTATCACTGTGCATGCCGTTTCAATTTCTTCACACAGTGCCATGTATCTCAAACTTATCACAAATGCGTGCAGTTGTTAAGCATGCTGAGGGTTCTGTTACATACTCACACCTCCATTGTTATATTTCCACAACATTCTTGAATTTCAAATACCACTTCAAAATGGTCTTGCACTCCTTGAATGACAACCATGCTTCCGCCATTTTCTTTGACTGTCCTGCCTGCCGCATGGTGATGCTAGCATTCATTTGATTAACTCTATCTTTTGAGCGAATGTCAGGCTACACATTGCTACTGTAATTCAATTCAACTTCAAAAAATAATACATAGATAACATCTCTTAAAATGTGTATACATTTTTTGGCACCCCTGTATCTTGCAATGTAAAGTAGTCTAATCATTTAAAAATATGTTCATTAGGTACATTGGGATTAAGATAATATATTTAGACACACACACTTTATATGTAGTTATAGATTTACACATGCACTTGTGTGTATGTGTATTAGAGAGATAAAGTATTGTATACTTAATTGAACCATTCACCTTAAATGAGTCTATTTTACTGTGGGATTTGGTGTAAGTGAACCCATCTTTTATCCCATTCAGTAGGATTTATTTATTTGATTCAAATTCTTAAATATTTCACCTTAATTATGGATTTATGACATGGTCTTTGAGAACAGTGACAGCTATGCTTGGTTTATGCAGTAAATTTATGAAAACTGTGCATATCTGACTTTTGAAACAGAAATTCATAATTTAAAGCTACTCAGAAAGAATCATCTCCTGGCAGTTCCTTTTTTCAGTTGAAGACTAATTTTAGAGTCTGTGTGATTTTTTTTCTTTTGTAAACCCAACTTTTTATATGTTTAAAATATGCTTAAAGTAAGGGACATCAATATTCATCTTTGAAAAATGAACTTATATGAAGTCAGGTTTTTATAAACATGGTAACTGTTCTATATATTATTTTAATGACATCCGCTCATTTGTTTAGAATATAGTTTGTGTGGTTAATTCATTGTTGGTTTATAGTGGTACCAGTCACAATATAGAATTAGGATAAAAGATCCCTAAAATAAGAGAAAATATTTCTTGATTTGTTTTATCTTTGTGCACTAAATATATTTATAGTAGATAGCTAATGTACATGTATTTTGACTTTTTAACTTTAATTTTCTAATATGTACGTGTATTTTGACTTTTTAACTTTAATTTCCTAATAAACATTGTAGTGTTAGACTATTACTAGAGAAAATGAGTATAAATAAACTTTATATTTTTGTTTGTATTTTTTACAGTCAGAAACCAACTTAAGTAAAGAAATGGAATCTGTAATGAAAGATATCAAAAATACTACTCAGAAGAAATATAGAGACTATAGCAAGACCCCAGGTTCACCAGACAATGATTTTCTCTTTATGTATTCTGTTGCTAGGTATGTATATATAGTGTATACTTTTATATTTACTTATTATTATTAGTTGGTTTTGTTTTATTTATTGTCATTTATATTTATTTGAAGAAAGGATATTTTTAATGTTGGTTGAAATTATGACTAGTTTTAGAACCTCCTAGAAGGACTATAAAAGTATAGTTTCCTTCATTTTTCTGAAAAGGTTATTTTAATGAAATACTGAGTAAAGTGTTAGTAAGCATTATTGCATATATGGTAAAAAGTATATTAACATTTTGAGACACATATCTAACTGAAAGCATGTGAGTATTATATATGAAGGGTGGTGTTACAAAATCACTATTCAAGTTCTATCAAAAAGTGATAATACTGAGAAGTAAAACATTGTAATATGTTAAATACTATTTATAAAAAATAAGAACAGTAAGGAGAACTTATTTTGTTTGTTTTAAGCTAGTGGAAGGTCGAATAATATCCTGCAAGACTACAGATGGCTTAGAAAAAGAGATAAGGGAGAGGAAGCGTGAGATCAGGCCTGTTCTGAGCCTCTATTAGTAGCTAGCCAGGGGCTCAAGAAAGCAGAGATAACCAATTCTCATCTTTCAGATTAGGGTAGGATTAGTCTAATCAACTGAGTAGGTGTTCAGTACCTAAGAAATAGTTCCAAATAGGAATTTTAGAAAACGGAATTGAATAAAAATGGAGAGCCATAAAAAAAGTAAATAGGGGAGAAACAGGAACAATTAGAAACTTATAAACACAGCCTGCCAGAACCGATACTACAGACCCCTGGATATCTCTAGGAGCATACTTCGTATTTTGTCCAAGTACTGTTGTAATAGGCAAGATTTAAAGAGATAATGTAACTGGAAGCCATGCAGCAAAATCAGTGGTGGAGTAGGACACGAACTCAGTCAGATCCCTTTGAGTTGAGGTCTAGTGTTCTTCAAATTCCTATTTTCCTTTTTCCTCTCCTGTGTTCAGCTTTTATAGGTCATATATGCATGCAGTTCATCGTGGCCATTTTCTTTACCCAGTTCCTGGAGCAGAGGATAAAAGGCTAAATGAACTATATGTAGTCTTTAAAACCCAGGAAAAATTGAACCAGATTTAGGAAAATTGCATCAAGCAAGTTAGAGCTCAAGATAAGGAAGCATTAGCCTTTGGTTTAAGAATGAAAATACTGGGCATGGATTGATGTAAAGGATCTAATGGATTGGGAAATAACTTTCTAGTCTGCAGTTTCTAGACTGTTGTTATTTATCCAGAATGCTTTGGGGAAAGATATAACAGTTAATTTAACATTTTGTCTCTGGAGAGTTACCAGTTGCATACTTTCAATAAAATATACTTTATGTGAAAGCTAAATAGAATATAATTTAATTTTCCAAGGTTTCAGGGTTTTACAAAACTTGTGTACAATATTGTAATGTTACAGAAGATTTGGATGAATATAGACCAACTTAGTTGTGTGTGTGTGTGTGTGTGTGTGTGTGTGTGTGTACACACACACACAGTCATGTGCTGCTTAACAATGAGGATACATTCTGAGAAATGCGTTGATAGGTGATTTCGTCGTTGTGTGAACATTATAGAATGTACTTACACAAACCTAGATGGCGTAGCCTACAATACACCTAGGCTGTATGGTATAGCCTATTGCTCCTAAGCTACAAGCCTGTGTAGCATGTTACTATACAAACAAACATGAAATTAAATCAAGCACAAGAGAAATGATGCAATCAACAGATGCGGCAAACATGAGATGTGTGAGGCAGCTGCCAGTGTAACACAGCATACTGTTTTTACACAAACCTATTTTTATAAGTAGAAAGAGTACACTCTAAAATAATGATAAAAAGTGTGAGTAAACACATAAACCAAAGACATAGTTGTTTATTATCATTAAGTATCATGTACTGTCCATAATTGTATGTGCTATACTTTAATACGACTGGCAGCGCAGTAGGTTTGTTCACACCAGCATCACCACAAACATGTGAGTAATGCGTTGTGCTATGATGTTACTGATGGCTATGATGTCACTAGGCAATAGGAATTTTTCAGCCCCATTATCTTATGGGACCATTGTCATATATGCAGTCTGTCATTGACTGAAATGTTATGTAACCCATGACTGTACAAACACACACACACACACACACACACACTCTTATGTGGATTATGTATTTATGTCTTTGATTTTATTACGATTGACCTTATAAGAAAATCCTGGTTGAATGGGAATGATCTGTATATGGAATTATGCTCTAGTATAATAAATCCAGTAATTTGCTTTAAATTTAGTTTAGTGGAAGTTTTAGATTCCTATTTCTTGGTTTAAATATATATAACTTATAGAATAAAGCTTGCTGTGATAATGGGAGACTTTTAGGATCAACATATTTTGGACTTTCTCTTTTATAGAGAAGGAGAGACAGATGTCAAAAATATTAACTAAGGGTGTATGTAGAGAAATAGAGAAAATATGCTCTCTCCTCCCATCCTTCTCTGATTTGTAATGATAAACTCTAAAGCAGCAAGATCATGACTCTGAGAGAACGTATATAACCCTTACAAGCCTCATTATCCTTTGGTTAAAATTACGACACCATTGCAAATTTCTCTCAGTGAGAGTGCATGCCTTCTCTAAGTTTTACTCAGTAATTAAAAAGAAAGCAAAAAACCAAATTGACTCAAAAAAACAAAAACACGAATTGAAGGGAAAAAATATGTTGTATCCTATTTAAATAGGATGTAATTTTGTCAAGATAGGAAACCAGATCTTTATAATTATCTTATGCCTAGCATATAACTTTATTTCATAAGTATTTATGATTACAACTTATGATTATTTTTATGCCTGTAGGCCTTAAAATTTTAATCAATATTTAAAATACTTAAATATATAAGTAAAATATTTAGAAATAAACTTAATTTGAACCACTTGACTTTTAAATTAAATGTTATTGATTCTTAAGTGTATAGTTTATTAGAACGTTCAAATTTATTTATTTGACATTAGTCATTTAAATGGAATACAACCCTTGTTTCCCAGAGCTGGATTTCTCTCTGCTGAATAAGTAATTTTGTTTGCTCTTTGGGAGCTTAAATTTTTTGACGTTTAGAAATAAAATATTTCTAGTGGGTAATTAGCCTGTTGCCTTTAATAATTGTTTTAGAGCTATATTTTTGTAGGACGATGCGTATCTCTTTGTTTTTAATTTTATTTGTATGGTGAAGGCTTGGAAGATTTTCTTAGGACAGCAGAGAAGAAATTGTTAGAATGATACCTTTTTGTTGTATTAAAGTTAATCAAAATCACTATATTGAAGTTTTAATGTATTTCCCAAAAAACATTCTATTGCATATATCATTAAACTGAATTAGGGAAAGTTAATTTTGGGAAAGAAAGCTTTCTTCACGTCAATACCAATTCATTATTTCATTATTGAAACAATGAATGACACTAATTTCAGTAATTGAGTTTTCCATGGAATTTGGACTCAAGTCACATATAGCCTAGAGGTATGGTGAGTAGCACTTGTCCTGTTTATAGTGAGAAACATGGGAGTGGAAAGAAGATGAAACTGAGGTGTAGATGGAGAGACATCTTTAAATCACAAGTGGGTAAATTACTCAGTAGAGTGAATGCACCCTGCTTTATGTTGCTTTATAAGTTTAAACTTTATAAACTCATTTTGTTAGAAATAAAAGGGATGCTTACTAAAAACCAAATTATGAATCCTTTTTAAAACTAAAAAAATCTTTTGTAAAACAAATAATCTAGCTCCCCTCCCTTTTTTTTTTTTTGATTCGCTACTGGGTTTAAGGGACTAGAAGGAAGGGTCAGCAAAAGAAAGAGAGTAAACTTCAGGGGCTAAAGAGAATCTTATCATCGGTTACATATCAAAACAAAGAGATTTTCAATTCCTAAGAATTTTTTGGAGTACTTTGTTAGGTACCACCAGATATTTAGAAGCTGTATCTGAAATGGTCCCTGCTCTCCAGGAATTTACGGTGTAGTTGGAGAGATGAAACTAACATACGTTAATCTGTATAAAACAATGTAGTTTAAAAAAATATGTATCATTGAGAAAGTGCTGTAGAACTTCAAAAGAGAAGATGAGCAAATTGAAATATAAAGTATGTGTAAGTGCTTTTGTGTCTCAAGGAAAAGCAGTTAGTTCTCCCTAACTCCTCCTGGAGAGGTTAGAGCTTGAGCTGTGTTTGGTATAATATATATAGGCTATGGTATGGATGAAGATCCTTTCTTCTCTGAGAAATGGAGTAACTTGCTTAACCAGCAAATGGTAGACTCAGTCCTTGAACCCACACTGTAACACTGTGTTTGAGTGAGTGAGTGAGTGAGTGTGTGTGTGTGTGTGTGTGTGTGTGTGTATACATTTTATACAAATTTGTTTTTCAAATTATAGCTCTGAAAATAGATGTGAGTGCCAAAGGGAGGGCGGGGAGAAGAGAAAACATGCAAAAAGGAGCTGGAGCATAGTTGGAGAAGTTTTTATATGGATATATCTAGGTGGCCATCATGATAGACTTGAAGCAATCTTTCTCATTCTTTCAAATGTAGAGATTTTTTCTTTCTTTTTTTGTCTTCCAAACTAATTTGAATGTATTTTTGTTAGAAAATATAGAAAGTAGAGTCTACTTTTCTCTAAGAACAAAAAGACTCAGAAAACTCCTGCTTCCAGCACATCTTTATTTTTACATCATCCCAAATTCAGGAGAGCAGAAATGGAATATTGTGTTGTGGTTTTCAGCAGGGAGGGAAGATGAGGCATGGGTCACGAGTTGCATTTCTGTCCTCTTTTTTCTAGGAAGTCTCAAATTAAAGGGCCAGTTTTGTTGTAAATAAAATAAGTTGATGGGTGGGGCCTCTGATATTGATTTTTAAAGTCCTAGATATTATTACATGATACTAACTCTTTGGATAAGCAGTTTTTATTTTTTCAATTCAGACAGAAGGTTGTATAGGAGATCGTCTAACTGTAACTTGAAAT